TATTCTCATTTCTTCTTTTTCGACCTAATGTAAACATACAATGTATATATATTACTCATATTACTATAAAGTAAACAGGAACATTTTTAAAAGGACATGTAATCAAAAGTAGAGTTTAATAGAAAAAAAATGATAATTTGTTCATTTTGATTCACGAATCATCATCACTAATTTGAGCAATTAGTAAACTTTTTAAAAACATAATTATCCAAAATTTGAACATGCGCATCGATGCTTGAATTCAAGAAAAATTTGTGAAACACACATTACTTAATATTTCAATAGCATTATTAAATCATTATAAGTAATATAATTAAGCAGTCTATGATAATCCTTATAGGTTGTACTAAAAATATGTCAAATTCAACCACATAGTATTTTATAAATATTCAATGGCTCACAATCAAAGTTTCGATAGTGATTTCACAAATCACATTAAATCAGAATCGTTCACAACAGTCTCATGAATGTACTTACAAATTACAATACGAACATAAATACAATATGATATAGAAATATTTCACTTAAACATATATTGCATGCAAAAACAATTTGATTTGATCATCAATCGATTAATGAAAAAATATATTTCAACATTATGAGCTGTATTTTTTCTCTCTTGTCTTAATTATGCAATAAATTTTGCACTTCTTTTGACTATTTGAATAATTTTAATAATTAAATTACATTTAAATGTGAAGCAATCCATTTCCAAATAGTACTATTTCATAGACATAATACCAATTTCGAATATTCGATAAAATTTGCAAATTAAATTGAATTATACAAATGAGTTGAAAGTTATATCAGATAAAAAAAACAAATAAACTTTAAAAATCCAGTGGAAAAATTCTCTATTTTATTTTACCGGGTAATTATGCCTCAAGGCATAGTGTTGTCATGGCAACGCTATCTTATGCTTGTTTCTTGTTAGTGAAGCTGTGAAAATGTCTATATATTTGCAAGGAAAAATCTTATGATAACTGCACCATCTAGAATTAAGTTATCATAACTTTCTTCCTTGCTTGTTTATATGTAAAATACGCCTGATCGCACAGCAATCTAGTTGTGTATTGCATCGTGCCTTAAGCAAATTGCTGGAACTTCCCGTACCGTAGCAAAATGTTCGAGGAATATTGATTTTTTTCAAATAGATTATTATAAAAAATGTCTAATATTTACAAGAATTATATAAATTGAATTGCAAAGTTAAAATTATTTGTTTAAAATATATAAGTGAGCTTTAGAACTTTAGTCAGAATTAAAATTAAAATCTGAATTATTTTCGATATACAAACAAACAAAAAATTGAAACAATTTTTTTTATAAAAGCAATTATTTTGTTAAAACAAGCAGAACGTTCTTTGAATCATTCAAATCGGACGCTTAGTTCTCTCAAAAACTGACATTATTTGTACATTTAGCTCTGTATCTTTGAAATGGCTGGACGTGCCTTTGCCAAAAACTAATAACAACTTTTCCCAATCATTACTAATTGAATGATCGATTGAATTTTAGATCATTCAAATCGGACCCTCCGTTCTCTCAAAAATTCGATTTGTGTTTTCTGCACTCTTTGCTCCGTATCTCCGTAACGGTTGGACCTGCCTTTGCCAGAAACGAATCAGCACATCCCTCTATCAAAAGGAATCGAATGTTTTGTGAATCATTCAAATCGGTTCAAAAACACGAAAACGTGCACCCGAAAACACACATACACATCCATTTTTTCTGAGGTATGCCAAAATGTTCAGGAACCTTCAGAACGTGAAGATATGCAAAAATTTTCATTTTCGATAACTACCCTACGAGAAGTTAATAGACTTTCACAGTTTCACTAACAGAAAATAAGCATAACATAGCGTTTGCCCCATGACAACGCTATGTTATGAGGAAGAGTTGCCCCCTTAGTTAGTATTAATATAGATTTATATATCATAATTACTTCAACAAATTTTTTGCTTATTATATTTTGAATGTAAATTATTTAATTACCTTGATATCAAATCAAAATAAAGTGATTTAAAGCTATACAATGATGCAATTTCTCTATACAAAAAGAGATTAACAACATTTAAATCCGATTAAATTAGTCTTTTATCACATTGTCATATTATATTTAGAAATTGTAATTTTCGTTGACCTGATTGAAAATCTAATGTACTGTAAAATATTTGTATGTCGACTCAAATATTCCAGCTACAAGGTAAATTATCATGTCAGTATTTTAGTTCATAGTCCAGCATATAGGTAATAAATATTAAAAATTGATATTGTTTTGTACAAAAAATCCACGTAAGATAAGTTAATCATCAAACTTATTCACACATTAGATCACATTCTGAACTCATTGTACATTATTGTTTCAATATATTCAACGACAACGACAATAATATTTGTACAAAAACATAAAAAACTAAGCATGGCAAAAATGTATTCCTTTAGCAAATCATTATACTTTTAATGCTTTTGCAACATTGTGACTGCTTACAGATATGTCATATTAAATTAGGAAATATATAATTCATGCTTAGTATATTTTCAATGTACAGTCTCTATTAAGAATAATCACCAATCTAAAAGCTCGTTTTTAATTTTTTTGACCACGATATAAATACTTTTGAAAAAACATGTGAAACATTTGGTTCTTTGCAGACTTTGATACACAGAAATATCGTACCTTTGATTGTTCTGATGTGACCACAAAGGAAATTTAACATATCCAGCTAAATAATTTGATTAGGCTTGCAACGAATAGTATATTCGGCAAAATGCCAAATAGCGATTATTCGGCATGGTCCAGAGACCGAATACCGAATATTCGGCAACTATTCGGCAGGTTTTTAGCGCCTAAATTCATTCGTATTAATGTAATTACTATTCGCAGTTATTATATTACTAACGTACTGCATGTATATTTATTTTTATGTCCAAGCTTACAACAACTATTCGGTTACTCTATCTCATTTAGAAATTTTGGCACGATTTATACTATTCGGCCGAATACCTAATTCTTAAATAACATATGTGATAGGGAAATATCTAAATATATATACATATATATATATATATATATATATATATATATATATAGATATTTAAATATATATTTAAATATATTTCCAATTTTCTTTTATAAACACAATATTATTTTTTATATATTGGGAAGGCTAATTATAATAAAATATAAATAAAAACTGACCAAAAATATTCGTATTTTTTTGCGATAAAGAGCCTCTGATATCTCATTATTTAGAAATGCTCAGAGTGAATATGATGAATGACTTTATTCAATATAGATACATGCGTGTAACCGTTGAACGATTCCTAACAAAAACATATAACAATAGCGTGTCCGTTGAATATTGAGAAAAGAGTTCTTCACGTGTTCGTTAATAATCTCAGAAGTCGATAAAAATTTTATAAATACAAAATACGATAACAAATTTTTTCGTATCATATTATGTAAACTATAGACTTTCAAATATAAGATCCATCGCAAGCTCTTTATGGCATGAAAAATAAAACATACAGGCAATATTTTCGCTGAGCAATTAATTTGATCTGATTGATTTTAAAAATTTGGTATTCGAATGAATACCGAATAGTAAACGAATACTCCATGCAAGCCTATATTTGATGTAATTTATTTTTAAAAAATATATGTATAATATATAGGTTTACAATCATCATCTGATGCAACTAGAGTATTTTGAGCTGATTTTTCCAAAAAGAATCTAAATAGTGCAGTTTGAAAAATTACACAGGTCCATAAAATAAAAAAAAATTGTCTGTATTTCAAAGTAATTTCTAACCCTGAACACGAAACTTAAGTCAAAATTCGGGTCAAATTGCTAAAAACGGTGTAAATTAAAAAAAACTCAAAATCTCCAATCAAGAATTTTTTTTGCATTATGATTAATGAACTGATTGTGCCGCACAGCAGACCAATGTTTTGGCAAGGCTATGTTATGAAGAACTTTCCGTACTAATTCGTTCTAAATATTGACAAAAGCCATGTGGTTGCCGTGCAGTCAGGTGTTTTTGTCAGATCGGAAACCTAACCTAGAAACCGCACAAATGTCAAAAAAACGATTTTAGATAACAGGGTCTTTCTGAACCAGCTTCATAATATACAAGTGGCGTTTCAGTTTATGTGTAAAACGCCTGAATGCACAGCAAATACATGACATTTTAATAGTATTCAGTATGATTTAGTAGCATAATGTATGAAAGTTAGAGCGTAACATGACATTGTCATGCCATTGGTCTGTTGTGCGGCAGAATCTGCTTAAAAATCTCATAATTTCTGTCGTTTCCTGGCCATTTCTACCTTAAATAACATGGAAAACGGATTTCAGCAATGCTTCCTATACCTTCATTGAGTTTCTTTTTGAAGAATTCAGCAGCAATCTGCAAACAAACTTTCAAAAAACTGCAAGTATGTTTGTAGATCACCCAGGGCATTAACAATAAATAGGTTTGCAAGTTGCTACTGGATTCTACCAAAAGGAAGACATGTTTGCTACTGGATTCTACGAAAAGTGAATCAAGAGTACAAAATGAACAAAATCTCCAATCTAGTAATTCTTCTGAATGATTATTAAATCTTATAATTTCTGGCGTTTCCAGACCATTTTTGTCATGAATGACCAGGAAAATGGATTTCAGCAATGCTTTCTTTACCTTTATTGAGTTATTTTTGAAGAATTCAGCAGCAATCTGCAAACAAATTTCAAATAGCTGCAAGTATGTTTGCAGATTATCCAGGGGCATTAAGAAATAAATATGTTTGCAGAGAGTTACTGGAGTCTACAAAAAAGAACACAGTTTTGCTACTGGATTCTACAAAAAGTGAATCACATGTTTTTTCAAGAGTAAAAAATTATCAGTGGTCTATCATTTTGATTACTCACTTTACTTCACATTATTAACTAGAATCAAGTTTATAATACAATACTTAATAACCAATTGTTGAAATTAACTGACGTCTTTGTCTCTTTGCTACTGAATAGCAAGATCACCATTTAGTTCTGATTTAATTTGATGAAAAGCACCCCTATCAGTACCACTTTGCAATCGATTGTTTGTCGTGATTTTAGAAATACTTAAACTATTTTCCACATCGGTGGTGGCTAAAATATCACTTTTCTCAAATAACACTGTGTCTTCTTCCCTTTTTTCCAGAATGTCTAATCGCCTCGACATGTCTATAACGGATTCTATACTGTGGGATGTGATGGTTCGTTTTTCGTTTGATAAAATTTGTTTGGATGGTTTTTGCTTTACTGATGTGATATCGGTTAAGAGAGGAGGCGTTTGCTTGCCGGTACTGGGAGAACGCTCCTGCTTTCCTTGCTGCTGAGCTGCAGGCGTCGTTTTGTGCTCTGCAGCCTCTGCGTTGCTGATGTTGTCCTGCTTTTTCCATTTCGTCCGGCGATTTTGGAACCATATTTTCACCTACAAAAATCAATATTCATTTAATGACCATTAAAATGATTTATACAATTTACATCAACAAACATTTTATATTTGGTTTTTGATATTGGTTACCACATACTTCTTCATTTTTGATATACTTTTTGGGTCCAATTCTATCCAACGTTCTACAAATATATTATTTTAACATATTTAGTATTTTAAAATATATTCTAATACCAATAAAATTCAATCTACTTGTCTCTAACACATGACCAGGACTAGATCCGAGTGCCTCTGGCCGAAAAATCAGACTAAATCTGTGTCAATACTTTTTTCTGAAAAAAATTACGTTTTTTGAAAGAAAATCCGATTTGCTATTTTTATGTGTTGTATGTGCTCTATTGAAAAAAATATGTAAGCATATGTGCGTATTAGGAAATGCAATACCGGTATACCTGTATGCCGAATTACCGGTAAACCGCCCGTTTTTTTTGGCGGTATTTTTACCGGTATTTATTCCAAAAATACCGTTATTTTCGGTATTTTTACATAAGCGCTATTTGATACATAATACCCTAAAGTTTAAATTTCTCGGAACAAATTTATCTTTAACTTCCATAATCGCATAAACAGCTATATCTTCAAGTGATTTTATAAGATATACAAATGTCAAATATTATCTCAACTCGTCATTAAACTGAATATTTATTGCTTTTCAAAGGGCTTCATATCGTGTTACAATAAATAAAATTGGACTGATAGATAATGATCTATCAGTCAATAATGAAGAAATATTTTTGCTTATTACAATTATAAAATATTATTTTTCGAAAATGTTTCGAAGTTTGAAAATACTATTGAAGCATCACATTGTTTTGAATAACAATACTCAACAATTATAGTAACTTATTATTTATCTCGACAAAGAATCCGATCTTAAATTAGTGTAGAAAAATTATTTTTTTAAAATATTAGACATTATGCTATTTTAACACATTGGATACAGACAATACAGTTTATTATAATAATGTAATATGATCTTTTATGAGTTTTTGGTCTTTTTTACTCATAAGTTTGTTTTTGGTGAAAAGTACTCACTGTATTCGATAGTGATAATGAATTAATTAAATTGGATATAATTTTATTAAATTATTATTTAAAAAAATAAATTTATTGTTTTATTTCATTGTTTTTATTTTTTAGTTAAATATAGTTGTAGTTGTAAATACATTTTTTTATATTTGTACTAGTAACTTTCAATTTTGTTTACGTTTATAAAAATACCGGTAATTTACCGGTATTCCGGTTTTAAAATGAAAAATTACCGAAATACCGGTATTGAAATTTTCCATCGGCATTGCCTTCCCTAGTGCGTATGATGAGATTATGTAACTTTGTGTGTACTAAAATTTGATGTTTCGTCTACGTCTTGTCTACGTTTTCCCAGAGACGGCTGCACTGACTTTAAAATTTTAAAAACCATTTGATGAAACTCAATTGGGACTCTCATTGATTAGTTTAGCGAGAAGATCAGGCAAACCGTTTCTCAAGATTTAATAGTAAAGTGCAAAATTTTACGTCATCGCAAAAATCATGATATTAGTTTTTGGTGAAGAAAGGCTGGGATTTTCTGGTTAAAAAATCCTATTTTGATAAATCTTTGTATGATAATAGAATTCATTATCTTATGAAGATCTTAAAATATCATAGACCTACGAAGAGTCGTTTTAAAAACTTGTCAAAGTTCGTAATTGTTCGTTCTATTTTACGTTTTTGTTTTAAAATTGGAATTGTTGTCGCTTAATTTTAGGTACTGAACTAGTGGTGTATGGCAATAAAGTACATTCTATAACATTTATAGGAATTAGACAAACTGAATTGCAAACTTAAAATTATTTATTTCAAGTATATAAGTGAGTTTCGGACTTTAGCTAGAATTAAAATTAAACTCCAAATTATTTTCGATATTCAACAAAAATAATTTTTGAAAATTACACAATTATTTAAAAAAAAAATCTTTTCCCAAAAGCAATCGTTTTATCAACACAAGCAGAAAGTTTTTTTAATCGGATGCTTAGTTCTTTCAAAAACTGTCATTTTTTGCACATTTAACTCCGAATCTCCAAAACGGATGGACCTGCATTTGCCAAAAACTAATCACCACTTCTCCCCTTCAATACGAATTGAATGTTTTTTGGATAATACAAATCGTAAGCTCCGTTCTTTCAAAAACTCTATTTCTATTTTCTGCACTCTTTGCCTCGTATCTCTAAAACGGTTGGGCCAATTTTGGCCAAAAACTAATCAGCACGTTTCCTTATAAATAAGAATCGATTGTTTTTTAAATCATTCAAATCGGTTGTTCCGTACGCCCAAAATTGTTAACAAAATGTTGTATCCACACATACACACACATATACATACATCCATTTTTTCTAAAGTATGCCAAAGTATTCAAAAACCTCTGAAACGTAAAGATATGCAAAAATTTTCAATTTCGATTTTTGGACGCAAAAATTTTCAATTTCGATTTTTATCAATAAAACAGTCAAACAAACAATTGCGTTTATATAGTCGTGTTTTTTAACTTTCTGTAAGCTTCACTTTGCACATCATACAAATAAATTTATATAAAGCTCATTTGATCAATTTTTATGGGGTGCAAAAACTTCGAAATCTAAAGTATAAATAGTATTGATTTCAAAACTATTTTTGCCAATTGTAAGAGAAAATTGGTCACGTCTAATAATATACAAAAAAACTAAAGAACCTCAACGATGGTAGTAAAACTGCAAGAAAGTTGCTTCTATAGATTCCTAAGAATTAATCCAATGGCAAGATAATAAAATCAATGTTATTAATTTGTGTACGATTAAAAGTTGCTAGTTCGACGAGTAATTCTATTTAAATCATCGCAGTAAATATCAATCATCTGCGCAGCCTTTGTGGCGCCCAAGGAACATTTGCTAGCTAATCCCCGACCAGAAAAGACTAATTGCTGCCGACAATCGCAGTATGTCTATTTAAAACGCAGCACATAGCAGGAGTCCTCAACATTCTAAGCACCTAGAACACTTTCCAGAACATCAATAACAGAACAAATGGCAAGCTCATAAGACTACCTCATCATACCAACATACGATTACAACAATCTTGAATAATTTCATTAACACTATCAATAAATAAACTGCAAAGATGCCCGTTGTGAAGTAATCTGTATATAAATGATACACAGCTACACAAACTATTGTTGTGCGTAGTTTAGAGTAATAAATCTGAATGTCAATTTATTCTTCATTATTTATAAAAATGTGCAACTTTATAATACTTAATAGCCCTCATAAACAAAAAACATGTAGACTTCCTCTAAACTTCCAAAAGTGTCTGAGATATATTTCTGAAAAAGATATATCTTCAGCATGATAGAATAAAGCTGTACTGCTTTAATATTTTTTAATATCTATAAAAATGCAGAGAATTATTATGTTAAACAACGCCTAAATAAATATTGTTTTCACAATTTCACTCATCATGTAATTGTGTTTGAAGAGCTTCATGTAATAAACTAATTAATAAGCTCAAAAATATATAGTAACCACGAATAATACAAATTACTTCAATAAACTTACGTTCCTTACACGTCAGATTTTTCATTTGTTTTATTATTTTCACTATACAATCAAAGCAATCATACTCGAGCGACACGACGACCAATCACAATCGACCCGTTATCGAGTGCGAATGACTCATTGGCACTCGACTCGGCCGTAACGTTTTTTTCCGTTGCATTTGTACAGATTTACAACCTAGTCGCGCCTAAAGTAGTTTTACTTCAAAAATCAATTATGAACGTTTACACCAAAATTATCTTTTCTCCGTTATTATTATTTACATTAATAGTTTTGCTTTCTTAAAAATTACTATGTGTAGTTATTCAAATCAAATTGTCATCCGAGTCAAAAACTATTAAGAATTTGAACTTGTCCGTAATTTTGCGGAAAGGATCCTTGTTTGATACCATAAGATTCCTAGGTTCCAAAATTAAACCTAGGATCAATTTATATCTCTGACAGCTTGATACCAAGCATTTTTGACTTGAAGCTTTAGATCTAAATATGATTTCAAGTAAAAAGAGCCTTTCTGTGCATTACTGCAATCAAATCACGATTGGAAATTAGGGACAACTATCTGTACTCCAGTCAATGGAGCGTTTTGGGTCTCAATTTTTTTACTATGCTCCAATTTGCATGAAATTTTAGAATTAGTATCATTTTACCTCAAGATCAAAAATAAATACAATTTGAAATTCCACCATGTTATTTTATTTTTTTTTTTTTAAATTATTAAAATTTTGCAATTTTTTTAAATATTGCGATACCCATTCATGTTAGTTGATCCAAACTGTCGAAAATATCTTATTTTCGACCGCCAAATGGCATTTTTCTAAACTTTTTTTCTGAATTTCCCACTAGCTGAATCTGCCTTTGCAAAAATTCGATCAAATCTTCATTGCATCAATACAAGTGAAATGTTTTTTGAATCATTCAAATCGGATGCTCCGTTCTATCAAAAACTTAATTACCATTTTCTGGATTAACCGACTTTTGCCAAAATTAATCAGTTCTCCTTATCGGTTGATCCGTGCTCTCCAAAACGTGGACAAAAAATTGTATCCATACATACGCACACACATACATACATCAATCGATAAGAAAATGCAAATATCAATTTTTTCTAAGGTATGCTAAAATGTTCAGAAACCTTTGAAACGTAAAGGCGTAAGGATTACTATAATTTACTCTACGGGAAGTTAACAAATTCAGCAAAAATTCAAGAAATTTGCAGAAAAATAGTGATACCACTACGATGTTCAGATTTGATATCCATAATCTTTCAAGTTTCATCAAGCACAAAAAAAGAAAAAAGGGAAAAAAAGAAAAAAGGAAAAAACAAGAAAAAAGGAAAGAAAGAAAAAATTAAAAAAATAAAGGAATAGCTATATTTTACACCAAAGAATCTACCTAGTATCAGTTGTACTA